CTTTGATTTTTTTTTTGATTTTTTTTTTTTTTGGGGGGGGGGGGGGGGGGGAGGGTAGATCTACTATACATAATCAGTAGTTCGACTTTGTTGAAATTTGACAGTTTCTGTGGTGAATTCTTTAATAATATTAACATTTGTCAACCTTCCCCTTACACAGACGGTAAAACCTTGCTGCACGCCCAAGGGGGATTAACTTGCCAATTAATTCTCACCAGAATCTGGCAAAAAGTTTGCCCTCAGTTTTTTTCTGATGATTATTGGAAAGAAAATAGATTTTTTAGTTTACATATATATTTTTTTTAATCTTATGTTTTTTATCATAAGGAGACAATCTGATTACATTCTGGGGTAGGTCAAAGGTTTAAAGGCTATCTATCTATCTAACAGGCTATAGTTCATCCAGATGTTGGACAAAGCCCTCCTCATAACATTTCCATTCTCTTCTGTCTCTAGCTGTCCTAGTCCAAGCGGCCGTTCCCATGTATGATGTTAGGTCGATCTTCTCTTCTGCCTTCCTCTTCTTCTCTTTCCCATCCTTGGTTGCCATTCTGTTAAACGATTTGTCCATCTATTGTCCTGAAGTCTTGCTACGTGCCCAGCCCATCTCCACTTTGATTCTCTGACTTTCTCCATATCTTTAACTTTAACCTTTGTTTTCTGGCGTATGACTTTGTGATTGATTTTGTCTCAAACAAATTTATTTGAAATTCAGTGTTTTTTGCTGTGTATATTGCCATATATTGTATCTCAAGAGTCGTTGGAGCAATGAACATCAAACTTGATACTAGAACTAGGAGGTGAGGGGGCGGGTTCGATGTCCTTCTGCTCTGCCTTTAGTTTTAATGAAAATAGTGATCAAATAGCAATTAATATATTAAACCATCATGAATTGTTATTATTTTATAAATATATGATATTGTCCAACATAATTCTAAGATAAATTTATGAAATATTACTTGCAGTAAACTTCTTCAAATTGCTGTTTAAAAAAAAAAAACTGTCCAGATACAAAACTTGCGAGACACAGAGCGTCTGGGCATACATGTACATATAGGCCAAAGGTTTTAAGAGGTAAATTGCCATGAAACTCTGTATTTTTGTATGCCCAGCCTAGTTATAATTGCATCTTCCAGTGGGAGGGAGGGGGGGAGGGGGGGGGCACCCCCAAAAGGGCACCTACATGAACATGTACATGTACATACATTGTATAGAAACCTCAAAAGCAAAAACATACATTTTCAGACATTGGTACATGTACATCTAAACCCCTACATTTTCATAATTATGATTACATTATCTTGGGCATTGGCCTATCGAGGGGTGTTTTGGGTGTTCAAACACCTCCTCGTAGCAAACAGGGGTGTGTTAGGTGTTCAAACACTCGCCCCCTCCCCCTCCTTGGCAAAAGGGGTGTTTTAGAATTTTAAAGACACCCTTTATCTGTGTTGTATCTATGGTCCCCCCCCCCCCCCCCCCCCCCCGCCAAAAATTAGTGCTACCCCCTCACCCCCCCCCCCCCTGCTTTATTACCGGCTGGCTGATTCGTCCGTAAATATTTTCTCATGTATTGGCAAAAAACACCTCCCCTTAACAAATCCTGGATACGCCCTTTGTCATGGGTGTATTGTTACAATATTTGTTTCTTTCTTTACAGGGGCCAATTAAGATACTGCTTAAGCATCTTACCTTGCAGTTGGGTGTGATGGTCGGAATATTTATTTGCGAGTGAGCAAAGGGAGCAAAATTTTGAAGATTTGTGAGGTCGCAGTGCGAAAAAATACATCTTATAATGAGAGAAAAAAACGTCCTGACTCCTGATGGGTTTGACTTATTAGCACAATTTAATCATGTAAGGCTGAAAAGACCCCCCCCCCCCCCCATGCTACCATGGAGTAAACTCCACTGTACGTACTGTACAGGCGTTGGTTCATACATTAAGTTTGGAAATAATTTGTCATCTGGAAGAAATTTTATTGTAGTGTAGAAATCGAGTTGCAAAACTTTTACCTGTTTTCATATCGGCTCATTTTTTTTTACATTAAAAAAAAAAAAATCTTTTGCAACATGTACTCTTTGTAGAAATCATTAAGAAAACTACTAACAGAAATTCAAGTTTCAATAAATGGGTTACATTAGCTCACTTTAAATTCATGTAGTGCACAATATATTATTATGTGAATGAAACACCTCCATCGCATGCATTGATATGCATCACCCTTTAACTGTACTTGACATGAACTTGTCACATCACGTGACGTCAACATCATTCGATACTGTCCTCCCACCTCCCTGATCTAGCTATAGCCAGGCTAGCGCTATTATGATTTTGGACTGATACATAAGTGTTTGTAAAACTGCATTGTTTGCTGACATTGTGTTCATTCAAGTGGAATTGTAAGTGGATAATTTGACTTCTTGTATGAAGATCAAAGTGTGTATTTAATGATATGGAAGACGTCAGATGACATTGTGATTTGTTTATAATAATTTGGCGTGTGTCGTAACTGTCTGTGGTTTTCGTGAACAAAGAACAAAGCTCTCTAACATGGACATGCATGCATGTACATGTATGTAGGATATCGATACATGGTGCATATTGTGTGTGTACTCTTGCCAGTGCAACATACCGGTACTGTAGTTATGAATGAAAATATGTGTTGACATTGACTCTTGACATTGACTCTTGTCAAATTACACTCTGTGTCGGAGCACGCCCTCCTCCTGTCATCAAAAAGGGGGCAAGATTTAAACTGGGAATCAGGTGACATTATTACAATTGGGCAAAATAATTCTAAATCTAATCCAAGTTCTTAATTTGATGCTTTTTTTTTGGGGGGGGGGGAGGGGTAATCAGTGGTTCTACTTTGTTGAAAGTATGACAGTTTCTGTGGTATGGGGAATTACTTACTAATATTGAAATTTGCAAACCGTGGCCGCCCCCATACACAGACGGCCCTTGCTGCACACCCATGATGATGATGATTAGGAAAAAAAAAGATCTAATTTATAAACAATTCATATACTATCACCATAAGGAGACAAACTGATTACATTCTGGGGAAGGACATAGGTTAAAAATGATAGGTCACACTCACTTTTCTTTGAAATTCAGTGTTTTTTGCCGTATTATTGCTACATCTCGAGAGCCATGGGAGCAATGAACATCAAACACAAAGCCTTCTATTCTGCCTTCAGTTTTAATGAAAAATAGTGATCAAATGGCAATACCATCATGAATGTTTGTCATTTATAATATTGTCCAACATAATTCTTTGAGGATTTATGATATATTGCTTGCAAAATCCTTCAAATTGCTGTTTTAAATCAAATGTCCAGATGTAAAACCTGTCCAGACACACAGCATCTGGGTATACATGTACTGTACATGCATGTACATGTACTGTAGGTCATGTAAAAAAAGGCTCTTATGAGAATGAAGAAGATGAATATGTTGAAGGAAAGGGGCACCTATCAGATTTTAATAGGGGCATTTATCATAGGTGAAAAGGGGAAGGTGCTTTTATAAACAAGGAAAAGGGGCACTTAGAAGAAGGAAATAATGTATACTAATTAGAAAGGATAAGGGACATATATATGTCAAAGTAAAAAAAAAGGGCAATTATTTGATGTAAAATGAGGCAATTATGAGAAAGGGAATGAGCTGTTTAATATTGAAGAGGGACAGGGGCACTTATTAAAAGGAAAGTGCTCCTATTAGAAACAAAAAACGGCAGTTGTCAAAGTAAAAAGGGCTATCATGAAAAGGGGCACTGCTCGCACCTGAAAAGAGGCACTCAATAGAGATTAAAAGAGGCTCTTATGAGAATGCAAATGAAACACCTATTCATTTTAAAAGGGGCATTTATCAGAGGTGAAAAGGGGGCATTTATGAGAGAGGAAAGGGCCTTTTATAAAAACGAAAAGGTACGATTATCTGAAGAAAAAATTACACTTAATTATTAGAAAAGGAAAGAGGCACATTTCAAAATGAAAGAGGCACTTATTGTACCTGAGAATGGGCACTTGAGATGAAAGAGGGCACTTTTAATGAGATTGAAAAGGGGACACTTCAAAGGAAAAGGGGCACCTATCAGATTTTGATAGAGGCATTTATCAGAGGAAAAGGGGGCATTGATGGGAGGGGGAAGGGGCTCTCTTTCTTTATCACTAGGAAAAAAAGAACATGTCAAAATAAAAGGGGCACTTATCAGACGTGAAAAGGGGCACTTATTAGGAGGGGATGGTGTACTTATTTAAAGGAAAAGGTGCACTTGCCAAAATAGGGGCACTTATCAGAGGTGAAAAGGGGCACTTATTAGAAGGGAAAGGGGTACTTATTTAAAAGAAAAGAGGCACTCAATTGTCAAAGTAAAAAGGGCTTTTTTCCTATGTCAAAAGGGGCACTTTTGGTGGTACTCCAAAAAGTGTGGGGGGGGGGGAGCGCCGCCTCTGCTCATTTCATGTAAAATGATATTTATTAGAGGAAGTGAGCTGGTATGAGACACCAGGAAATAGTTTTATTTGTGATGTTGTAATGCTATATGTTCATTGACTTGTAGTGCATGCAATAGGTGTACATGTACATGTACGTGTAGAAGGACGAAGATTGGCCTGTTTGCAGTTTTTATTGTGTAAATTATGAATTCATGAAAAAAATATTTTTACTCTGATTCGATCGGGTTGATTCTTTGCTTGTTAAAATATCTTCTAGCCGACTACCAGCATCGGAAAGACAAAGGGAAATCTATTAAGTCGTATTGACTTCAAAATCCATGTTAAGTGTCAAATGAGGGACAAAAACTGCATATTGGCCAGTAAAAATTGTTTAGCGGGGGCTAGAGGTATGGGCACTGTAACTGTTGAGGAGATCAAGTCAAAAATGTTACCATAAGTATTGTTATTATTATGATGATTATGATTATGATGATGATGAAAATCTTTGAAGCTAATACATGTAGCATTTCTAAATAGTTTTAACCTTTTTTTCTTCTTCACAGGTACATGTACTGTACATGGTAGTTTCCAACTACATGTAGTACATGTATGACATGGATGCCAATCTGAGCACGTCTGTGCAAGACACAGATTCAGATGTTTCCCTAAAAAATCTGGGGGACTCGAAGACGTCTGAGCGAGAAATAGATTCCGATGTTTCTCTGATAAACCTCAAGGAGATGAAGAGGTATCAGCCTCTTCTTAGAGAAAAAGGCTACAATCTTGTTGAGGTGAGGAGAAAACATTGAAATGACACATATCCTATGCTACAGCAGCTACATCTACAGCTACATATACATGTACATACAAATATATGAATAGGTATATTCCTTTTGAATTCTTCATAGATTATATTATGTATTTATGAACTTGGGCGTACCCAAGCTATGCTTACTGGGATTCGCGCCTTCTTCCTTGTAATACAAGTTTTTAAATGTTCCTACCTATAAATTGTATTGTTTGAACAAATGTCAAATATGTTGTCAAATTGAACGGAAGAAGATAAATGTTATTTTGAATGAATGAATGAATTTAATAGAGTTAACTTAAATGAGAGAAATGTGATATAGAATTGGGTGATTTATGTTATAGTCACCTCTTGCATGGTACGTCTAGTGAATGCTAAAGTTTCTGCTTAATTTACAATAAATATGAAATTTGTATCATATATCGCTCACTTTTTTATAATCAGAATGCCTCTGATGGGCAGGTTGATGATCAGCTCCTGGCAGTCGGTGACCCACAGGGCAGAGCTATGAACTTGGGAATGAGTCGGATGACCCTAGGAGTAGGACTCACAAATGAACATCACTATCAGGCATGGCTTTCGCCGGATAGTGTGCAGACGGATAAGGTGCTTCAAGATGAACTTGACGAGACTAATGATGTCAATAATCAAAGCTCGCTGGAGGTCAGTCTTTATCATTCTTTCAAAATTCATCTCTACCTAGTCACAAATAATAATATTGTTGGAGAATAAATTATGGGTTAAAATCTAATATTAATAACAATATTGATCATTTAGGAGTGCTAAAAACAAAATGTACCATAGTGCTTTAATACAAAACTGTAGAAAGTGAGGAAGAAACATGAAATAAATATAATTATGAAGTAAATCATTAAGTATACTGAGGGAAGAAGTATGTTTTAAGGAATCTTTTGAAAGAGACAAGGCAGGTTAATTCTCTGATGGAAAGTGGGATGTTGACCCATATTTTCAAAGCAGTCAGTGTGAAACATTTTTCAGTAGATGAGAGCCTGGATTTGGGAATAAATTAGTTTATATTTGTCAGTTGTTGAGCTAAGGTTACAAGCTGATGTTTATATTTGGAGGTTGTCATTGGGATTCAGTTTTCATGTGATTAAGAATTTTGAAGATATACAAGCAGACCTTAAAAAGAATGCGTTGTTGTAGACCAGTGGAGTTCCTAGCTTAATCAACAGACAAGTGAATGTATGAGTCTGAGATCCAAGGCCAAAGATTAATCTAACATCTCGATTCTGGACAGTTTCAAGTTTTCTATATCTTTTGTTGACAAAACATTATAGAAACTTCATGTATTACAATAATCTAACTTACATGTATTACAATAGTCTAACCTTCATGTACATGTAGATAGAAATATGTTTTGGTTCAATAATCTACAAACTTAACAGTAAAGTTGTACATGTATGTGAGTCACTTTATACATGTACATTAACAAATTCAGTAATTTTGTATCTTTGGTCTCGCTCTAAATGAGAAGTGGGCATCTTCAGTGAAAGTCACCATTATTTTTTTTGTGTAACCATGATTATGCTTACATTACATATACATGAACATGTTTGTACATATTCCTTTAAAAACTTTGATGTTTTAGGAAATACAGCCTAAATGTGACCTTGAGAGAAACGACTTTCGGGATGGAGAAAGACATGCAAAGGCTGTAGGAATCACAAAGACAAGGACAGGATACACCCCCAAAGAGGTATGATCTTGTTGGTTAGCCTTGCCAAATGTCAATTTTCAGGAGGTTAATTGTCTCCAGAATCATCAAGAACCATGTAAGCTTTAATTAGCCTCAAATGTGCTTTTCATCCTGTACCAGGACATGAAATGAGTAGACATGGGAATCTTCAGGCCATGGGTCAAATGTCATGGACCTTAAGAACCCTTTGTGGTATAAACTTGCGCTGTAATGCACTTCGTCGAAAAAAAATTACTTGACTTTAAAGGTCACATTTGTCAGCTTTTCTGGAAAATCTCAATCAACGTCTCATTATTGTGACACCCAAAGAATTATTCCTGGTGTTTTCTTCAAAAGTAATATGCATCATCAGGAAAAGTTGCAATGATTAATAAGGAGTATATAGACATTTGAAAGCAAATGAGCATTATAATCACTCTTATGGCAAGCCAACAAGGTAGACCAGCAAAGAACCTATAGTCTTCATAAGGCATTTCACTTTTGGTTGTTGTCTTTACTCTATAACAAGTTGAAAGTGTTAACATATTCCAGTTATCCAGTATTGCGATATATTTGTCAATTTGATTTTTTCATGCAAACAGCAAGCTTTGTTCAAGAAAACGTTCACTCAATACACCGTCTGTTTGGAGAAGATCTTGCTTTCCGATGGAGATGGATGGAGTTTCCTTTTGGATGATATCGTAAAGATCATTTGTGATCTCATGAGCTGGCTTGCTGGTCTACATGATAAATCCATAGTATATGGAGATGTGCGAGGTGAGGACGCTATGTGTTATTGTATCCATCATATAAAGAATCTGACGGAGGCCGGATATCTCAGTGGTAGGGTAGTTGTCTCATAACCTGGAAGTCCCGGGTTCGAAAACCAAGTATGAATATGAGGGATATTAAACAAATATTGACTATCTCTATATCAAGACATTTGGTAAATATTTGGGGTCTTGCATTAGTAATCTAATAATCACTGACTACTTAGGCAGTAGGACAGCTATCTTTGCACAAGTGATGTTTTATACCCTTTTCTAACTGCACTCTATCGGAGTCACACCGATGAAAATACCGATTGAATTTTCTTTATGTAAACAAAGGTGAAACCACAGTTTTCCCCGTCGGTTTCTAACTGCCGGTGAAATTCACTCGCTGTGGCGAGCCCTTGCCGGAAGTGAAGAATTATTACGTAATTATTAAGCCCGCGCTCCATCTAGCTAGCATGCAGCATGTTCAACCATAAGTCAACAAACACAGCTGGTTACGACCGCATACTGCGACCTTTGACCATTTTAATCGCTGTTTTAATCGCCTTTTTCTCCCGAGCGTTTTCTAACTGGCAATTTCATCGGTGTCACACCGATAGAATGAGAATTTAATCGCCTATTTCTCTTCTTTTCATCGGCTATTTAATCGCCCTTTTCTCCTCTGTTGCTTTCTAACTGGCACTTTCATCGGATGCGTCCGGATGCATCCGATGAAAATAAGTGCAGTTAGAAAAGGGTATTAGTCTTTATCCATCTTGTTTTTCATTACAGCTGGGAATATCTTCATCAATGACCACTTGAAAGCCTTTCTCATCAGCTCTGAAAAATCCAAGGAGCAGAACAACGGTAAGAATGTGGATGCTCTTCTGTGTGGTTGTGTGGTTGGAGGAGGGGGGGGGGGGGGGGGGGGGGGGGGGGATGGAGGGCTTGAGGGTGTATTGTCTTGTCTGTCTGTCTTGTCCACATGTCAGCCCCTCTGTTTTATGTGATTAATGGCTCATTTTATTTTTTAAAAACCCAAACAACAATACAATACCAATTATCCGCAACAGGAAAGGTAAGGGAAATACTGAGAGGAACATAGAAAAGGAAAGAAAGGGAAAAGGGAAAGGAAGAAGAAAATAAACAACCCCCTAAAAAAGAAATTCAAGCTTTTTTTTGGGGGGGGGGGTGGGGGTGGAGCTTCTTGTAATAATGTTAATATTTAGGACAATAGTCTAGATTTACACATTTTCTCTACACGCACTGTACAGTCGGGATTCTTTTCTGTTCCACAAAGTGCACACTATTTTTGATGTGGCACAGGCTCTAGCCTTCTTCCAGGTGGAAAATTTATTTTCATGCACTAAGCCAGAACATGAATTCAGATCTATAGTGGTGACTGGATTGCATTATGATGAATCATTATGCCTATGACATTGACAGGGTAGTCCACAAACCAAAATTTAAACATGTAAATTTGCAACTTGAAAGGAGTATGAAATGATTGGCACAGCGCTGTAAAAGTCCATTTGCAGCCGGCCATGTTCCAGGCCACTCTTACATGTATGGTCTCTGGGAGCTCTGGGATTCTTAGATACTCTCTGGTGCAGTCTGAGCCATATTTTGAAGCATTTCAGACAATTTTATGACTTAAATTTTAGAACTGATTTTGGCTGAGAATTAAGTTAAAGTTGTAACTGATTTTCAAAACCTTTTGTGGGCCACCCAACCGACACCCTTTAAATTAATTGTTATCTTCTGTGTAGAGGCTGCACTTCTTGATGAGTCTCTCATTGATGTGAAAGCAATGTGCAAGGTCATGGGTGGCCTCTACGCATTCTACATGAGGATGAAACCTCGAGACTCTCAGAAGGTACATGCTACATCTTTATTGTATCATTAGGAACAAGAAGAAGATTTTAATGTGATGTGTATGCCGATTCCTGAGCACCCCTTATGTTATTTCAAAATGTTGTATTCTGTGGTTTAATGTCTAATATCTGCAATGATCCTGCCTTAAACGAGAGGAAAAATTATTTCCTGATGGTCACAGAAAGATGAATTGTTTGGATTCTTCAAGTAATATCAAAGGCTAATTATCTTAGTTAAATATGGAGGAGAGTTGTAATGAGAAACATATTTTCTTTAAACTACGATTAAATCTAATCTAATCTTCTGGTCTGTATGTGAGCTTGCTTAGAGGGAGAAATTAAATTGTGGCGATTCTAAATCCATATTGTATGGTTATTTTTGCAAATTTTAGAACATGCACACAATTTTCAGCAAGGTAATATCGTGATCATTAACGTACAATGTAAGTTACATTGTATGTTGCACACACCGTTTACCACTATAGCAAGAGCCATGGGGGCTTCTAAGGCTCCCCCCTAAGATGTTGAAAGATGAATAATTATGATGATTGACAAATGGTCTTTAAAAAGATGAATGACAACATATTTTTTCCCCCCTTTAGGCTTGCTATATACGGCTGCGAATGGGAACAAGGATATCTTTCCATTATTAGCAGATGTCAAGATTACATTTAATACCTCTGAATGATTTTACCTTCTTATCATGAAGTTCTCTTTTTCTGTGTCTGTTCTACACTTCATAGAAAGCAGAGACAGCATTGTTCACTCTTCTTCGTAGAGGATACAGAGATGGTATATCAGCAAAGGACTTTTTGGAAGTGCTTAGGCGAATCGTAGTTGATGGTAAGACTTATATCCTATACCTGTGATAGACACCAGAGTCTTTAGGAAAGAGAGGAGTTTAATATATGCTTTCTGTATGGACCTGCTGTTAACTTATTGTGCTGTGTCTATATTCAGTGATGTTGTCTAAGTTTGCTAATTCATGAATTTGAGATCGTAGGATCTTGAGAGAGAGGTTTTAATCGTACAGCTGCTAATGGTAGTTTTCTGCCTGTCTTTCATTTTTAAAAATACACGCATACCAATGCCTCTTTGATCCAACATTGGTAATGACACAGGTTATGTGAGCCCAAATAGCCCACATTTTCTATCCAATGGTCTGATTAATACTTCCCCATGTGTTCATATAAAAAGCATTTAGACATACATGTACCTGTAGAGCTGTTGAAACAATTAATCTTCCCCACTCCACAATCAATAGTCATACATTGGGTATGCATCTGAGTGTTGTTAGATTCAGTAATTAATGGTACAAGTCTTTCTAATTAAGAATGTTTTTGAAGACTACACCAACAGTCCTTTTCAGGACAACACACCCTCAAGAAAGATTACTGAGAGTCCTTTCAGGACCCCTCAATCCACCCTCTCTCTTACATGGCGCATCCACAAGCCTACTGTATAAGAATGTTATGGTTATCGTTCAATTGGTGCTATTGTAAAAGTGCTGGTGGGAATACATATTCAACATTCTTCTCTTGAATACAGATCAAGTAGGCGAGCAAGAAGAGGCTCCCCAAGAAGAGGCTCCCCAAGAAGAGGCTCTGCGACAACTACCAATAAAGAAAACTTCAGAGTTGGGACCTGCAGCTGTCAACAGCCAGGGTCTATCAATGAAGAGCCCGAGTTCAGAGCCACGACCTGAAGCCGTCACTAACAAAGTTCCGCTGCAAGCATCAAGAGACGCCAACAATGAAGGTCCAGGAAACAAGTCTATGGACAAAACCAGCAAGGTAGATTGTAAAGCCATAGAAGATCGCTGCTCGACAGTTGGAACAACCACCCATGCCGGTATGTTCATGTCAATTAATTTCATATCTATAATGGTATTTGTAATGATCAATAACTACTGATTATACTTCAACTGTGCATCAATCAGAACATAATGTACATGTACATGTTAGTCAGTTTGGACATTTCCAATAGTCCCAAATTATTCATTACACCTGAAACAAGCACAGGCTGCTGAAAGTAAAAGCACAAAAATTAATAATACATTCACACCAATGCCTCTGTAATCCAACATTGGTGATGACATGGGTTATGTGAGCCCAAATAGTTCAAGTTTTCTATCCAATGGTTTGAGTAATATTTCCCCATGTGTTCATATAAAAAGCAATTAGACATACATGTACATGTAGGGCTATTGGCCCAACGATTGATCTTCCCCACTCTGCAGAAATACATAGAGTATGAATCTGAGTGTTGTTAGATTCAGTAATTAACGGTGCTGACGGGCATACTTATTCCACATTCTTCTCTTGAATACAGATCGAGTTCGCGAGCAAAAGAAGGCTGGAGCTGTCACTAACATGATACCAGAGCTGGGATCTGCAGCTCAGAGCCAGGGTTCAGAGCAAGTACCTGAAGCTTATGTCAGCAACCAAGTTCCTGATGCTGTCAGCAACCAAGTACCTGATGCTGTCAGCAACCAAGTTCCTGATGCTGTCAGCAACCAAGTACCTGATGCTGTCAGCAACCAAGTACCTGATGCTGTCAGCAACCAAGTTCCTGATGCTGTCAGCAACCAAGTACCTGATGCTGTCAGCAACCAAGTTCCTGATGCTGTCAGCAACCGAATACCTGATGCTGTCAGCAACCAAGCTCCGGTGCCAGCATCAGGAGCGAACAACGAGGGTCCAGGAAACGAATCTAGGGACACGACCGGTGATTTAGATAGTAGAGAGATGGAAGATGGCTACTCTACAGACGGAACATCCATTCATGAGACGCTCATGGCAGGTAATGTTCAAGTCAGTGAATTTATCTTTGATTATACTTGTAATGATCGATAATTACCGATCTTTGTACCTCAACTGTGCATCGATCAGAACATGATGTACATGTTAGGGCATGTTCACACCGCAAGGGGGGACCGTGGGCGGACCGTGGATCGCGCTATCGTAGCGCGACCCACAGTCCGCCCATTGGCATTCGCCGGATCCACACCGCAGTGAGATAGCCCAGTCTATCGTAGCACCCCCTTTTTTGAGAGGTCCTGTTGCCATGACGCGTGACGTCATGAGGTCAGAGCGGTCAAAGATTTTGCGCGCTATTACGAACTAGGAGTGTTGAGTTGTATCGATTCAGATTCAGATCGCACCAAAATAGAATGAGTATAAAATTCCCTGCGTGTAGAACGATGACTTCCGGCGTGCTATCGTAGCTCGGGTTCACACTGGCAGAGATAGCGCGCGCTAGATAGCGCTATCTCTCGTGGACCACCTCCAAGAGGTGCTCCAGTGGCACGCCGTTTTGGCTCGCCATGGCTCGCTGTTGGGCGGACCGAAACCTTCCACACCGCAGAGATAGCGCGGTCTAGCACACGCTAGACCGTGCTATCTCTGCCGGTGTGAACAGCCTCTTCGTCAGTTTGGACATTTCCAATACTCACAAATTATTCATTACACATGAAAAAAGCACAGGCTGCTGAAAGTAAAAACAGACAAAAAAAAAGATATGGCTTCTGACGATTTTCATCATAAATCTTACACAGAAACGCATAGGTGAAAGTGTGAGAATAATGACCCAAAATAAGGACGTTGTGAATGTTTGAAAGTTGGGTCACCTGATGCATGAAAATGTCAAATTTGTAAAATGGTCATGTGACTTGGATGAATTAAAAGACATTGTGAAGTGGTGAATAGTAGCCACTTTATGTATCAACAGAAAACTATTAAAACTTGACATGCTGTTCTAGTTGTAATTTTGAAGGGGAGTATAAATAAACTAAGTTCGCTGCTTCTACTTGGTTAATTTAAGGGTAGTATACAAGAAGTACTTGTATAAGCCAGTTTTGAAATAATCACAAATTACCCCAGATTTCTACAGTGCATTTTGAAAATAAAGAAATTCCCAAAGTGATTGAGGCCCTTAATGAATAACTTTTGATTGTGTCCTTTTCTTTTAAAAACAAAGAATTCTTCCACCCATGTATTATATATTGCAAAAAATGATGCCATATAATATCATGAACATCTATCCAGTATTTCTCTTTGCTATTGTGCTGAATGTAACTATAAACAAGCATATTTGTTGGGATTTTCTCATTAAAAAAAATAATTAGATGTTTTAGAGATATATATTCTGTTTTTGTTCACCATTTCTATTTTCCTTTCTTCTCTAGATATGGAGATGGAGATGTTCCAATCTAATTAACAAGGGTCATTCGACGATCCAGGGTTTTTTTGTCCAGAAGAGAAGCAGAACAAGAAAGTTTAAAATCCATCTGACATCATGTAGAGTAATTACAAAGGTGATATGATAATCGCTCTAGGTGTTATTTTGTTAAAGGGAGATGGTCGTCAGTTTTTATGTGCAGAAGGTCATAATTTGCTGACACCAGACTTGTTGGAAATAACATTATGAGTGTACAAGTCTTGCACACAGCAAACTCGTAGTCCCATCAAGAAATACCCCTTATTCTGTCAGAGACTCTTCGGGTGAGGTAAATGTAAGATAATGTCTTTATCATGGGGGATGGGTGGAAAATGCAGACCATTACATAAAACCTGTTGGTCAAATAACTGAAGGATAATCCTGGTGATTGACAACACTTGTTAATGGGTAAAACACCTGAATGGTGTTGAATTTCTCATGAGAGCCTGCTAGTATGCATCTTTAAAGATTTAGGGGGATGGCTAATTTGGGGTTTTAGATTAGGGTTAAGTATAGCAGGGCTTCCACAGTGGTGGACAAAGTCATAGCCTTTGAGTTTAAACTAACAACGTTCATGGTATTCGTATGCAGCTTGGATGCCGCAACCCATACCAAAATGTACTTACCGTAAATCTCTGTGTATAAGGCGCACCTGTGTATAAGGCGCACCCCTATTTTGGGGAGGGAAAAAAAAAAAAAAAAAAAAAAAAAAAAAAAAAAACTTTTTTTTTCTGTACCTGTGTATAAGGCGCACCTCCGACTTTCAATTTTTTTCGGCGCCAAAAAAGTGTGCCTTATACACGGAGATTTAAGGTCATAGAAAAAGGCTGTTAAGGGTCTTGGAAGTAATGGAAACTACCATGGAATTTGGTTCTCAAATTTCTGTGAGAACCTTGCAATGTACAGTGATACAGGGTCTAAGTTAGGTTCGAGCATTTACTGGTATTGTTTTTGAAATATGTGCTGTACAATTACAACATACACCTCAAAGCAAGCTATGCACTTATACATTATAGCCATTGCCAAGGTCACAGCCAGGTCCTTGCTACAATGTAGAATATGAAAATGCTACTGTAGGGGGGCCATTCCATGGTAACTCGCGTTACATCTAATGGGTACATTGACACGATAATGTGCCTATATCTTTAGAACTGCTAGGATCTACAAGATACTTTTTTCAAACATGGACAGGGTAGATATAGAACAATTGAATGAAACAAAAAAGAAAATTGAAGAACAAAATTTTTTAGATTCTTGGATTATTGAATTTCGGTAACTCGCGTTACAAAAAAAGGACATGGTCAATTCTATGAGACCCTCTTTTGGCAAAGTCTCCTCATACTAGACAATCTTGACAAAATCTTTCCTACTTTAATTTGATAGTAGGTTGTGACTTACTAAGATCACAATATTAAAGATAAGAAACAATGGACTAGTAAAATGCAGGAAGCAAATATGTTGGTAACTCACGTTACGGTAACTCGCGTTACATTTTGTCCGTAGGCCATTTTCACCCCTATGTAATAGATTAAATATCACAGGACCCCTTAGAATATGGAAATATATTCATCTTTTTCCATTTAGCGAAATTTTCAGGAAAAAATATTACAAGAATCCTGTGTAATCTGCAATAAATTGTTTTTTTTTCATCTACAGTCCCACATGTACGTTTTTGATGATGGTTTGAGATCTTAGGAAATCAACAAAAATGAAAAATAAATTGTATTGAATTTGAAAGGCCCTAATGTTTTATGAACATCCATGGCATAAGGTTAGTGATAAATCAAAGAATTAACATAAGAGGTACATTTCTTTTTTTGATGTCATGTCCTTCTTCTCATGGAATGGCCCAGGGCCATTACATGAACTAATTTTGGCTACATACACATCTGTTTAGATTCTTTCTGCATATTCACGACTTGACTTTGATTTAACATACATACAGTACTCAACATGCTTTTGCTTTTTTACTGTATTTTGCTTGAGCTGTCTCAAATTTTCCCCAACACCCACATGGAAAGATTAAAGGCAGTTTGGGTATTTTTTTCTGAGTAGAATGATTTGAAAACATGTGATGTAAAATTATTTTGTTTGGGGAAATATATTACTACCGGGTATATCTTCCAAACTGTTTTGGGGCTTTAAATGACAGGTCATTTCAATCAATGTTGTTTGTGTAAAAATCTGTACCATAACCATAAATTTGAATAATTCTCTATTATTTAAATGTATTTGACCATCAAATCTATTAGGATGTAAGAAAATGTGTGGTCCTTTCAATCATGGCTTTGAATGAAGTGATTAATAAATTTATTCTCTGATAAATTTTCCAAAGGTTACAAATAAATGTTGTACTTAGTGGCTCCACAGATTATTTTTTAGCAGCTATAAGTGTACCCGAGTTATTATGGGCTACTCAAATTCTCAATACGTGTAGTTTTGATATTCATTTTATGTCCTATTTTGTTTATGAATATTATTATTGAATACATCAAATATTGTCTGTACTCTTTTTAACAGAAAGTTGGTGCAGATTTTTTTTCAAAGCTTGTCTTGTAGAGGAATAATGATGAGCATAGAAACTAAAAGTCTTTTGCTGCAATCACCTGCAGCTTCTTAACACAGATGATTATTAATTTATCAAGATATATTAATTATAGGTGCATTAAAGGAAAGAGATTACCGGTATCTGTAATATTTTTATTTTTACAAGATGGTTTTAAGAGGTATATTTTGTGTAGTACTGTGCTGACTTATGTAGATTTAACTTATAGACTGAACAAAGTGTCCAAGTATTATTTATTTTTTACAACAAAGTCTTAGGGTTTTTATAAGGTTTAGGAAGATTATATATGCTGTGCTGAATAGAGGAGGACGTGGAGAACATCATGAGATGTTTCAATATCAAATGTATTTTGTGTTAATAAATATTTTTCATCCTCTACAGGTGCTTTCATGAAGTGCCATATAATATCAAATGTATTTACTCAAGTGATGATCGACTGAAGCTGTTTGTCTAGTTGTTCATTATTTACTATTAAAGGTAAAGACCAGTTTTGGAAACGCCCACCTCTAAAAAATATATGAAATATGGAAGCTCTTATTACCAATCATGTGAAAGAATATGTTTTGACTAATACGTGATGATACAAATTTTGCCGGGAAACCACCTACTAATTGATATATTTGGTGAATTATTATATCTATTTGGACCTGATAGATATCGCGCACATGTTGCGCAGTCCCATATACATCTTCTGTGTACAGTGCCTGTAACTTTACCAAAACTGGGCCAAATTTCTCATGATTTTGATGATTCCAGAACCTTGCAGTACACACCAATACTTATATGCTAGATGATCAATCTTTTCTGATCAATTCCGCAACGTTTCTTTCACAATGCAATCGCATGACCAGAACTGATCTTTATCTTTAATGCTGTACGTGTCCTAGTCTACTAATTCTTTTGGTGTATTTATGTTTGAAGTGTCTTGTATGCTTCTTGTTGGTCAACTTTGAAAAAAAATAATGTAACCCCCCCTCATGTATATGTTGAGCTTCTACAACATTCCCGCAATAAGATTGAAAATTGTAAACTAATTTGTCATTATAAACAAGAAATACCTTGGTGTTGAAAAGATTGACATACATGTACTACATTGTATATTTTATTTTATTGAGTGGTTCGACTGTTGAAGAGAAAGAGAATTAGAGAGAAAATCAAATGGACAAATAATCAGTAGAGAGTAAAGTACTACAGAGATTAGATTAAGACTGAGAAGGAGAGATGAGATAGATAGATGGAGAAAGCAGAAAGAAAGAAGAGAGATATGACCGAAGAGACAAAGCAAAGAGAAGAGAAGAGAGGGGAAAAAGTAGAGAGACGGGTAAATGGAAAGGAGATTAATTAGAAAGGGATGGATAGAGAGTAGGGAAGAAAAAAAGAAAGAAGAGAAATATGAAAAAGAGAAGAGAGAGAGGATGAAACTAATGAAAACGAATGAAAAAAATCTGCGGCCGTATTCTGAAAACTATGTTATCTGTCATGTTAGTAGGTGGAGGGCCAAAGTCAGAAAAGAGGGGTTTGGTTGCAACTACTTCACAAACTAAGCATACCCCGGCCCCCCACTCGGAGGTCGGAATGACCGCATGCATGTTGCCAAAGTGTCCGGTAAAGGGGTACTTTTTGTGCGACAAAGTCCGGCCCGAGAATTGTAAAAAAAGGGGTGTATTTGACTTTTCACCCGGAGATTTCTTTAAAAAGGGGGTGTTTTTCTTTTTTTCTCTCATCTCTTTGGACTCCTGAGAAATTATACCGAATTTAGGGGGGTACATTGAGAATTTTTCCTGATTTAGGGGGGTCTCCAAGGCAGGAAAAGCCCGAGAAAGGGGGTTCGGTAATGTTGGCAGTCCTCATGCAGATAGGGGGTGCTTTCAAAAAGAGGGTACGAGCATATGCGTATGCGTACCCTTAATAATACCTTGTTTATTCGAAAGATTTTATCACAATGCACAATATTTCTGACTTTTTTTTATAGCGGTCACCCCTAAATGGGAGGGGCGTCCAAAAAAGCAGCCCTTTTGATGAAAAATAATATATTGTAAATGATCTTTTAATGGAAGCCTTGAATCACCAAGAATTTGTTGTCATATGAAAGAGAATAAAATGACCTACATTTCGATACCAATTTTAATGCAATTGAAATTATATAACATCGCAGTTTTAAGTAAGAAAACAAAATGTTTTTATTTGTTTTTTTCCAAAAAGGTGAATTTTATTTTAAAAACACAGTATTTACCATCATAAAATAATAAATCGGAGAGGTCTAATTTGTAGTTGTTTTGTCCATGTCTTGTGCCAAGGTGAGGCCTATTTCTCTTGTCAGTAAAAGGTTATAGCAACCCATGGTTATTGACTTGAGAAGACACTGCATACAGGCCAGTCATGATTATGGGGAAGGGTTTAGGGATTTTATTTTTCCAGAATATTTGAGAATTGAATCACCAGGGGCGTGGTATGAATTAAGAAACAATTTAAAATATTTTTTTTAAAACAAAAGACACCATTTATGTAAGTGAAAAAATGTCATAAAAGTTCCTAGAATTCGAATTTCCTGACCAGATTAATAATAATGATAATATTAATGGTGGCTTCTTATATAGCGCACATGTCCATCACGTTGTGACGCTCCTGGCGCTGCCCCAATTATTACCCTAGCGCTGGCTTTAGCAAGGCGGCTAACAGAAAAGGGGGGAAATCAATCTTTTGATATAACATTTTTCGTCAATTAAATGCGAGGGTAAAATGTTTATCAAATTATTGAGTCGACGTGGTGTCAACCCCAAACCCTCCCTCTCCGCTCTCTCTCTCTCTCTCTCTCTCTCTCTCTCTCTCTCTCTCTCTCTCTCTCTCTCTCCCTCTCTCTCCCTCTCTCTCTCCCCTCCCTCTCTCTCTCTCTCTCTCTCTCTCTCTCTCTCTCTCTCTCTCTCTCTCTCTCTCTAAAGACGCCTGTGCAATTACTTTAGTTTCCACTGACACAACTCTCACTTTAGGCCAAAAAAATACACGTATCCTAAAGAAGTATCCAGCTAGGGGCTGATTGGCCGTTGGGATCGAGTTTGGGGAATTTCTACACGAGCCTTTTTTGGCCGAGGACCAGTTCTTTTGTGATCTGAGGGCCCGGCCCCTTTAGGGTACACGTGGGTATATGTAATTCCCTCCCTTTGAAAACAACCCCCCCCCCCCTCTCTCTAAGTCAGGTGTGGAAAGTCAATACGGGCCGATTTTTGTGTGTATAGGAGCCGGACTTTGATGCGTGAAAAGTACCCCTCGCAGAGTGGAAGGGGGGGGGGGGGTCTGACGGGCCGCTGTATCTTAACTGGGCTGGTCGCATCAAACTTCCAAAACCTATTTTCAGTTCCAGCTCCCACCAAAAACATCAAATTAGTTTTGTGTCAAAGGCATGATGTAGAAAAATACATAGGCTTGCCTGTCTAGATGCTGTTGTCCTGTCGTTATCTTGTCATTCGATCTTTCGGCAGAGCTATAATAGTACTGGTTCAGGGGCGGCGCCACAAGGGGGGCAGGGGGCGGCCGCCCCCTATCGTTTTGAAAAAAGGGAAGAGGAACTTAAGGAGAAAGAAGAAAAGGAGAAGGAAAAGGAAAGGAAGAGAAGAAGAAGGAAAGAAAAGGAAGGGGACGAGAAGGAGGAAGGCCAGGAGAAAGAGAATTATACAATTTATGTAAATTATGACGTAATTAAGGGAGGGCGGGGGAGAGGAGAAGATAAAATTAAAGATAGAGAAAATAAAGAAAAAGAGATAAAAAGCAAGCCAAATCAGGCGATCAGATATAGACGCTTCATTATTACATTCACATTTAATAAAATTTAGCGATAGTTCAGCGAAAACCTTTCACCAACTAAAGAAAAAAAATTAAATTGATCCCTTGTATCTCCTAAACCGGCTTATGGTTGATTGTTCAATGGAAACGACAAATTCATCTATAACAACCCTTCTGAAAAATATGGTGACAACCCCCCCCCCCCCCCCGCCGGCCGCTAATTTTTTTTTCCCAAACAGGTTTGCCAATGCTAATATTGTTCTTGTTAGCTGAACTTAAGACTGTTTTCTTTTTAATTTGACAAAAAGTATGCACCAAAACGAACCATTTATGCATGAATAAAAAAAAATCAATAATAATTTAGCAAAAAGTGTGCACCAAATCAAGCCGTTTATGCATCAATTTGTTCAACAAAATCGTCAACCTTCTGAGGGGCCCGGGGTCACAAAACCGGCAGCACATACCCCTCAGACACCCCCTGCGTTCTTGTTCCTGTTAGTTGAACTTAAGACTGTTTTCTTTTTAATTTGGCAAAAATTATGCACCAAATCGAGCCATTTATGCATCAATTTCACAAAAATCTTCAACTTCCCCAATTTTGGACACCCCCTGCGTTTTTGTTCCTGTTAGTTAAACCAAAGACTGTTTTCTTTTTAATTTGGCAAAAATTGTGCACCAAATGCATCAATTAAAAAAAAAAAAAAAAATCAACTTCGGAGGGGGGCGCGCCCATTCGCCCCCCTCAAAAATAACCTGGTGCCGCCCCTGTACTAGTTGCTTTAGGACCTAGTGGTGGATAGCCAGCATTTTTTAAAATAAATTTTACTTTTCTTTTTTACCTCATTGGAGTGGCGCATCGAAAGACATAAGCCTAATCGAATTGATTTAATAATCAACTTGTATTAGTGTGATAGTCATCCAAATTTAACCCATTGCTTACTGGAACCTGGTGGTCCCTGTGTAAAGTCTATGGGAATTAGATAATTCAGTAGTCAACGGGTTAAAAAGGCGAGTAAATTACAGCATTTACACAATGTCACCACTTTCTGCATAGGCGAATCTCAAGTGAACAAAACGGTTATGCCCCCCCCCCCAAGAAATAAAAATAAAAAACGATAATAAACAATTATAATAGGGGGAAAACGAAACAGGTCTACGAACCCCTCCCCACCCCTTACTAAAACTTCAAGAGGGCCAGAGTGATTTCTCGTGAGGAAAAAAAAATCTGAAATGAAAAGGGGAAATTCATTCCCCACGCCTATACCGGCCTGATTTTATTTTAAGATCAATGAATCGCGGTATAAGAAGTCTGGGTCTTCATAGTTATTTACCCTCAGAAAAAATGAATATACGAGTGCCCCAGGCCATGCCCCAACTGGGTTGACATCTAGTCCGTATGACTTTGGTTGGTAGCCTTGAAATGTGAAGCCTTTTAGAGTTTGCTTGTGAGATATCCTTGATTAGTACCCTCTCTCCATGTAAGAGAATCCTGAATTATGAAAATCTGATAGCAGACGACAGCAGTAATTCAGTTGACATAGCCTGCCGTATTATCAACGTAGAGGGCAAATTGGAAAAATTCAGATGGCGGCGATTTCAGAAACTGGAGCGCAGGTAATGTGTCTTAAATGTCAATTCCATGGAGATTCAGATCAATTTCGAAACCATAACTATGAAAATTGCATTTGTAAACATGGTATCCTTAATTTTAATTGATAATACCAACTCGAAACCGCTGCAAACCTTGAAAGACATGTTGATGAGTGCCGCTCCCTCCCGACTGCCTGTCGGCCACCGACGACCATGGGCTGCTAGCGCCTAGCGAGCTGGCCGTCTCTTCGGCCGATGGTCCACTCGAGCCGGATGAGCGCTACCGCGCTTCGTTAATAATATGGCTATGTCTATGACTATGATTGAGCTTGTTCTAAAATCAGGCCTGTATAGACCTCTAGGCCTACTGTAGAGGTCGAGTATATGTAGCAGCTAGCCATTGTATGACTCTGATTCTGAAGGGGCGTGGCCAAATGGGGGAGGGGAAGGGGATAATTATTAATAATAATGGCGGCTGTGGCTGTGCACTTTTGACTTTATTTTCAAATTTTCAAAGGCTGAAAGTAGACCTCTAATTGTAATTCAGTGTTTACTTTTGTGACTCTTGGGCTAGAGTCTACTTTGCAAAGCTTTGGAAACCACTCTTACATCTGTAGTATTTATGTAAGTAGTCTAGGCCCTATTGACCTAAATTATAATAGATCTACCGTACATCATCTACACACTTTTGCGCACAGCTAGTGCGCAGGGGGCCAGAGAATTCTGCGGAAAAAAAACAAATGACACATGCTTCTGAATCTGAGTTTTGTGAGCTGAGCTGAGGAGCAAATGGTGGTTTCCCATTTCACAATAATGCCTTCTTTTGTTGATCTCCTTATTTTCTGGAGCTGTCTTGTGGAAAAAATATTATGATGGACAAATAATGCACAAATTCAATACGCCCAAATAAATTGCAGATTTTACGCCCAAATAAATCTTTTTTTAGGGGGGGGGGCATCCCCAAAGTTTTAGCCCACCCATCATCTTATCTTCGGGCAACGGGATGTCCGAACATCCTCAAATTTGCCTGAATATCATTATATTTGGGCAGCAAGTTGCCCAATTAAGATATTCATATACATGTATCTCAGCTATAGTGAATATTGACAATAATAATAATAAATAACATGTTAGAGAAATCAATGTGCCCATTTCTGATCACTCGCTGCGCTCGTTCGCAAAGTCTAAAAAAACAGGATGCCCCCAAATCCTCATATTTGGCCAGTGTGTATTTTGATGACAAAACAGATGTTTATAATTCATTATTTTTCAAAATCTTTCACAGCTCTTTGCTCGACTTGGTGAGAAACCCTCTCTTGCTAGACTGAACCCCAAACTAATCCCACCAGGTTTAGAGCCTAGGCCTGGAGATGTGGTAGAGATCTACGGCAACAGTGGCTCTGGTAAAACTGAGCTTCTCCTAAACCTGGCTGCAATGTGTATTCTTCCAGAGCAGTGGAAGGCAATTGATATTGGAGGACTAGGAACCAGTGTTGTGTTCGTAGACACTGATCATCAGTTCTCAATGCTCAGGTTGTTTGCTCTTCTGGAGAGGAAAGTTGCTGAAGCTATTGATAAAAGGACAAAGCGTAAAGGTAGGATTGGAGATCATGATGGAGGTACGGCAAGCACAACACATTTTAATTCTGAGTGTGCCAATCAAAAAGACAATGACAGCAATAAGGAAACATGCTTGCAACAAAATGTGAACTTAAATTTGCACAGTGCTTCTTGCAGGACTACTGAAAGTGCCAAACAGTCGACCGATGAAGCCAAGTTTTCTCCCCCATCTGAAGAGGAAGTAGAGACTTTCTTAAAGGCATGCTTGAAGAAACTCTACATGGTCAAGATTGCTACAAGCAACCAGCTGGTTATAACCCTCCACTCCTTAGAATCCTTACTAGCCAGCCAGTGTGACATCTCTGTGCTCATGATGGACTCTGTATCAGCGTTCTACTGGGTAGATAAGATGAAAGGAGATGGTGCACATCGCCAAGGTGTCAATCAAAAGCTGGCATTTGGGGCCCTCTCTAGACTAGTCGAAGACTACCACCTAGTCCTGTTCGCTTCCAAGGCAGCTCTTGTAACTAAGCAACCACAGAATGAATTCAGTTTAAGACTTGACTCTACTGGGGAAACGGATCATTCCAATCAAACTTCAACCTCGAGTGTGAAGTTAAGCACAGACCATCATGAGTTTATGAGCCAGGAATGGACAAAGCTTGTCACTCATAGGATGATTCTAGAACGACATGATCACATGACCTCTGATGGACCAAACAGCTCCTATATATCGGTGCTTAAGCACAAGGCCTCGGGAAATATGTATTCATGTCAATTCATTGTAGATCAACAGGGCATAAGGGTATAGCCTACGGTATCTATAAAGGGGAAGTTTACTCTGGCATTTGGGCTTAAATAAAAGCAGAAATGATAAACAGATCAGTGAAAATTTGAGGAAAGAAGGAGGGAGGATATTTATTATTAAATTCATTAAGTTTGAAAAACATGTAGTTCTTAATCAAATTTGCAACTCTGATATTCATTGTGAGCTCCTATCCACTTGTATGAAATTTCATTAATATCCATTTTCCTCCAAAGCAATAATGGTGCGATTCAGGCCTGTGACTTAGATTATTGTTAGACCCCTCGATGAAATGGATGTTTTTCTTTATCAGCAACCAAGAGGATGGATATTTTAGATAATTTCAAAGGGAGGGGGGATAATTTCAATGGGAAATAAAAAGTTGCCATCTGTTTTCGTTCAATATAAACTTTACAAAAAATACACTTTTAATGTTTTATATTTCATTTACCGGTAAATTTATCCAGTCCAGAGCTGATTTTCTCCAAACTTTCAGAATTCCACTGATCTCTATCACACATTTTTTCCAGCTTTTATTAAAATCAAATGAACTTGATATCAGGATGGACTTGCCCTTTAATACAAAACTTCTCTGAAGGGAATGTTGCTACTCAAAATGGAAATGGGAAATAAAAAGTTGCAATCTGTTTTCGATCAATATAAACTTTACAAAGAATACACTTTTAATGTTTTATATTTCATTTACCGGTACATTTATCCAGTCCAGCGCTTATTTTCTCCAAACTTTCAGAATTCCACTGATCTCTATCACACATTTTTTTCAGCTTTTATTAAAATCAAATGAACTTGATATCAGGATGGACTTGTCCTTTAATACAAAACTTCTCTGAAGTGCAATATTTATTTTCAAATAAACATACATGTATGATGATTTTCACAGGATCTCAACCAAGTGTCGTATCGTTATTAAATGTCTGGTTTGTAACAGTTTTTTAATTCGTACATGTACACTTCCCCAGCAATTATTCAAATATTTTATTTTGTTGATTTGCTAAATAGTTGGCTTTATATGAATTGAAGTTGATTTGATTTTTGGTGAAGCTAAGTTAGCTAACTAGATACTTGATGTAAGTATTGGCATTGAATTCCATTTGTTGGATGATATAAGATAGTGTGTTGAACTGTACATTATCTGTTTAAGCTGGTGATGAAACCCTAGATTACAAGCTACATGTACCAACTACATCTAATGAGACTTAACTAAAAGGCTAACTGTTACCAAAGTTGTAATTTTTAGGCCTATAACGAAAATGTGTGGAGTTTTAAGAGCATACATTTGGTGGAACATGAACGTGCTTTCAATGACATTGCTACCACCTCTCTATAAAGGCCATCTCTATCATCTTCCCCTGGGAATAAGTGTGTAGAAAGAAGAAGGAAGAAAAAGGGGAGGGGCAGAGAGGAAGTACATGTAAGTTGTAGAAAGACAAAGTATATAGGTCTAAGAGTGAAAGATACAGAGTACGTACAAGAGATGTCTCAGATATGATGGAAGTGGTAACAAAGATATGTGGAGATGATAGCTGACTTATTTCACGATTACCTCTCTTGCTCTTTCTCTCATTCCTTCCATTAAAAAAAAAAAATACTCTCGCCTGTATGGAAGTTTAAAAAAAAAGTGCTACAAAATAAACCATTCTCTCCATGTAAACTTGTGTTGGCAAAATGACAGGAAGGACACAATGTTTGGATGTACATGTAACTAAACTTCATCAGGTTTAAAATGGAACTTATATCTCATCTGATCTCCTTTGCTTCTCATTCTGCATGTTTGAGGAATATGATGTGAATCATTTTCCAAATCTTGAAAAAAATACCAACTTGCTTTCATTTGAATGAGATGTCTGCAGACAAGAATTAATGACAGCTTCCTGTAACAGGCCTGTTTTACGTAAGTTCTTTTATTAAGCATTCATAATAATACACTGTTGGTCATAAATGTGGAATAATTATTTTTACCACAATTTATGGAATGATTTTGACAATGATTTATTCCTAATAGATCTAAATAATAGTATACATTCTCAGATGTTATTGAATAATAATTTGTGAGTGTTCATTTTGCGTGACTGCTAAAACATGTGTGTGCTACTATGCTAATCAACTAGGGGACCTACGCCCTTAAGGCATAACTGACAGTAAGAAGGATAAATGCCTCACAAAAGGGCACTAATATAGCTGATCGATACAGTTTTTATTCTGGGGCCTCACAGTAACGAGGTCATTGCTAAGCCACTGAATCATGACTGTACGCAGTGGGGGCTAGAGTACGTCGCCGCCCCCACAAATACAACAAAAAAAAAACCCAAAGAAAATGCAATAAATTATAAATAATTCATTGCATTTTCCCCCGGTCCGCTACAGGGGAAATTTCTCTGTAGGGCCATGCATTATGGTTCAAGGCATGCCCTGTCTGTTCGAGGCAAAATGCAATGAATTATTGATAATTTATTGCATTTTCTTTCTTTTTTTGTATTTGTGGGGGCGGCGACGTACCCTAGCCCCCGCTGCGTTCAGTCATGGTTCAGTGGCTAAGCAATAGCCTCATTTCTGTGAGCCCCTAGGATCAAAACTGTCGATGTGCTATATATTAGTGGCCTTTTGCGAGGCTTTAATCCTCATTACTGTCAGTTATGACTTAAGGATGTAGTTGATTAGCATATAGTAGCACACACATGTTTTAGCAGTCACGCTAAACAAACACTAAGAAATTATTATTCAATAAAATCTGAGAATGTATACTATTATCTAGATCTATTATGAATAATTTATGACCAACAGTGTATATCCCTTCCTCTTTATACTCATTCTTGCAGATATACTAATTTGCATGAATTAATTCTATTAAGGATGAAATAGTATGAAAGTATGATTGTTTTATCTTCATGCATTTATTGTTCACTTCCTAGTCCTCTTTTTGACATGTATAAAAATGAATTTGTGAAAATACAAATATACATCATCCTCCACGATAACTTAAAATGAAAGATATAATATACAAGGAAGGAAAATTCTTAAAACAGCCTTGAGTGAAGTTTACCACATTGGATCACTTTGATTGGGGGTCATTCAAGAGATTAAGAGAAAACATGATTGAAGTTCAGGATGTGTTCTTTTACTTGTAGAAGATTAAATCAACTGTCAAAGATACACATGTAGTGGCGTACTGCAAAAATAACTACTTTTTTGGTATATACTTTCTACTAGCATAACATGGACATCACAGTAATATATATTATTTCATTAACTTTCAGGTTTTTACAAATCTAAATATAGTTGGTTATTTGGAGATAACTGTTTTTGTCATATCAGGCAAACATGTCAAGAAACTCTGCCAAATCATATGAAATGAGGCTTATGGCCTGACAGAATAAAAAGAACACTATAGCAATACAACCATAATGTTCACTTCTACTGCTTTTATTAAAGTAAATTAAAGTTATATGAGGATATTTATTGTTTAAAAAAACAAAATCCTGATTAAGAAAAAATGGTAGGTCGAGTGACCTTTGTTATAACAACGGGGCCTATAGTACCGTTTTAATAAATATTGATGATTCTAATTCAGCCTGCGTAATGGACATTTCAATAAATAGCACTATAAGTAACTTAGTTTAAATGATTTGACCAACATTGAGAATTAAGATAGATCACAACATTTTGATGCCAAAAACATGTATATAATCTTGCATATCTATTACTCCTCAAAGTGCAGTGGGTAAATTGAATACCTTGAGTATGGGATACAAGTGTATCTCATGCCCTAGGCCTTGGAAGAAGACTGTTTTCACTGTTTTGTCTCAAGAAATTTCAATCATCAGGTGGGCTGTATATCATACAGACCACCTTATAATTTTGTTAAAATTGCCTTTATTTATTATTTATTTTTCTTATTTCGAACCACTTTTTTGTGAGCAAGATCACTTTGAAATGGTTCAATCAAATGCTTTGAAATTTGGCACACATATGTATAGGCATATAGAGAAATCTAAATAACGTTTTCAACCTTGACCTTGACTGATGACGTCATCTAGGCGCCATTTTGTGAAAATCAACTCATGATCATATCTTCATAACCAAATATTATTTCTCATTCATATTTATCATGATCAAGGTCAATATCAGTCCGGTCAATTTCAGGTCAAAAAACGCGCACATGCGCGTACGTCCGCGCGTCAGTGCGCGTGCAAAATTTTAAAATGCTCAAAATCGTCTAAAATTTATTTTGCATACGTTTCAGGTCATTTTAAACATTTTATAAAAAATCGCGCATACGCACATGCGCGCGCGTTTTTGCGCGTAACACCATTACAAAACATAGAATCGCCATTTTTTTTTCTTGCATGATATTTCTCATATTTTTTCGAGGAATTTGATACCATGTTTATCTCTTTATGACGATTAATAACAAGATGAGCGTCAATTCAAGATAAATGTCTGTGCACGCGAGCTCTTTTAATACATAGCATATATGGGCAAAAACTTGCCTATACAAAATCCCTTATAGCTCTTTGGAATGAACCGTGACCTTCAATTTTTTTCATTCATATTTAGATAGAGTATGAGTCGGAAATATGATTCCATGTCTCATTTGGCCATTAAGTGTATCGTGACATCATCATAATGGCCTTGGAACTCAAAATACGAATTTGCATATTATGACGTCAGTATATTTATGGAAAATTGATTGTATCTCTGTAAATATTAATAGATTTTCTTCCAAATTTTGATATGTTGTAGCTTAGACAATTCTCTACAATCTCAGTTGGCACTGTTTTTCATTTTGATGACGTCATCATAGTGAAAATTTTGATTAAAGGCCATATGTCAGAAATTTCTTAATTTGCATGTTATGCCTCAGGAAGGTGAATTTCATTCACATCATGAATCTACATGACATTGCTTTTCAAGCAATATCTCGCTTATTTTCTCTCAAATTTTAGTTGGAGCAGCCCACCTATACTTGTTTCAAACAAGTATTACATGTCTAGTTGTAATAATTTTGCTTGAAGCCAATGAAAAACATTTTATATAGAGTTACTTCAAACAAAACATCAACAACCACCAGTCCTTTAAATGGAATGCTGTAGAAGGGGGGTTATAGAAAACTTTCTAAAAGTTTGATCAGGTTACATACAACAGCTATTTCAGTAAATTGTTAAAATCATGTATGCAACACCATAGCGAGTAAGAAAACAAATGAAACCTACATTAATTTTAAATATAATGATTTTGAGGTTTTCTACAAGACCCTGGCTTGGGTGCTGTATGTATTAAGTTACTATGTATTTCATGCTTTTGCTGCTTATCAGGCTATTTCATTCAGACAAAAGGTAGTACATGTATGTAACTCTTAAAAATAGCTTATAGCCTATCGCTTAGAACCAGAAACTTAAACAATGTTTTGATAGGAAGAATTGTGTATTTAAGGCTTTTACACTTATTGAAAATGACTCAGTCGGTTATTGCTAGAAAACATGACATCCAAGAATTTTACCATATTCTTATCGAAAGGATTTTTAAACTTTTATGCTTCTTCCTTCTTCCCAAGAACCTGCAAGGACTGGAACAACCACCTACAGGACCCAGCCCAATACCCCTCTCTTGATGCCTTCAAGGTCTTCTTGAGTTGGATGCAGATGTAATGTCTACAAGACCAGGAATGTTTTACTTACATATGTATATATGCACCTGCACAACAAGAACAAAAAGTTAAAATGTGGAATAACAGGATATGTGAAAGTCTTCACATAATCATATACACACACAATCAGTGCGTTTATCTTCATCACCTTGAAGCAGCACTTACACTGGAAGAAGAAGAAGAAGAAGAAGACTTATTTAAGTTTGAATTTTGACTCTGTATTATTTGCATATAAAAGAAATAACCCAAATTTGTTTATGAACCTTTGTTTAATCTTAATGAACAAAATGGTATATGATAACAGATACAGGAAACACCGTTTAGATGTTGCAAACATTCAGAACTCTAAGAATTTGAGTCATTTCGTATCAGCGTTTCGCTGAGTCCCAGCAGTGGCTTGATTAGACTAGAGGGGGTTCCAACAAGAGGTGGTGCAGCGAATCTCAGAGCTCTCAATCTTCCAGGTAACTGTACTCCCATGTGAATCCGTCCATTTTCCATCGTCCGCACTTCTCATCGTCAAAGTAGATGGCTGATCCCTGGTAAACGAAATGAGATGAAAAGGCAAAGATTCAAATCTGGTTCAGGTATTTTCCACATTGGAACAATTGACAATGTATAAATAATAAGTGTCTGATAGACATTGCCAATACTTCTAAAATATAATGTGTAATTTTTATGCTCAATTAAAAAAAAAAAAATATATATATATACTCATTGATTTTAAATATTTATTTAAATATGTATCATTGCATAAGGGAAGGTTAAATCAAATACATGCATTTCATCAGCCAGAAGGGCACAAACTCTGTGAAAAGAATAAATATCCATACCCTTCGGGATCTCAAGAGATCAATAATTTATAACTATTTCAGAAAAAAAGTATACACATGAAATCAAATATAAATGATTTACGGATCGCAAGGCGTTATGACCATCGGTTCCCATTCCCAATAGAGCAAGGTCCTATATACCTATCCCAAGGAAACAGACTAGCTTTTCAAGAAATACCTTCACTGATTTCACAAGGTGCAATAACGAATAGACACATTAAACCTTCCTATACAAACAGATCTATCTATCTATCTATCTATCAGGCTATAGTTCATCCAGACGTTGGACAAAGCCCTCCTCATGAAATTTCCATTCTCTTCCGTCTCTAGCTGTCCTAGTCCAAGCGGCCGTTCCCATGTATGATGTTAGGTCATCTCTCCATCTTCTCTTCTGCCTTCCACTTCTTCTCTTTCCCACCCTTGGTTGCCATTCTGTTAAACGATTTGTCCATCTATTGTCCTGAAGTCTTGCTACATGCCCAGCCCATCTCCACTTTGATTCTCTGACTTTCTCCATGATGTCTTTAACCTTTGTTTTCTGGCGTATGACTTTGTGGTTGATTTTGTCTCGCAGAGATAAATGCGACATCTTTCTCTCCATAGCTCGTTGAGTAGTCACAAGCTTCTGTTCTAGATCCTTTGTCAATGACCATGTTTCTGATCCATATGTCATAGTTGTTAGAATGCATTGGTTGAACATTCTTCTTCTTAGTGACATGGGTATGTTTTTATCGGTCAACATGTCTTTGTATCTTCCAAAGTTCATCCATCCTGCTTTTACTCTCATCATAACTTCTTCTTTTGTGGTGTCCTCCATTTTCAAAGTTTGTCCCAGATACTTGTAACTGCTCACTCTCTCTAACGTTCGACCTTCTATCTCGATGTTTTCATCTGTGTCATAATTAGTCATATATTTAGTCATATATTTAGTTTTCTCTTTGTGCATAGTTAGGCCAAACAGATACAAACCATTTAATATTGCTTTTGACTGCATTTCTTATGTCATCAGCATGAAAGACAACTAAACCTTTTCTCACCTCCTCATTCTCCGGGCTGAGTGAGTTGCTGCCCATCGCATGAGGGCTCTTGGTCAGCATGGCTGCACTGGTGGCCAGGGCAGTGGCTACTGCATTGGTCTCCACCGATGACAATGGCACCGTACTGTGCATCATGTTGGTGTTGTGGGATGACGACATTGTCCTGTTGCTTGGTAGGTTGGCCACGCTTCTCTTGATGCTATAGCGTGGGGTTTCATAAGTTGTAAATCCTTTTTCAGAAAGGATAGAACAAAAAGACAGGCTATGAGAGGTGTATTATCCTAGATACTAATAGTCCTGAGCTCTCCAAGACCAGTTCATGGTATGTTCTGCCAATACAAAGTTCTGTTTCATTGCTCACCCTGCATGGAAAATCTTCAAAATATCACCAGAAAATCTTGAACAGAGATTTTGTGGTAGAGTAGAAAATTAAACAAAACTTACCTGGAAGTTGATGTTTGATTTCTATTCTATTAGAAATCAGGGGTGAGAGATTAATTGCCTACCGCTCTCTAAACACCCAGGCAGGGTTGGGCGGTAATTACTGGTAAATAAGATGGGCGTCTGGTAAATACTGTAAATCTCTGTGTATAAGGAGCACTTTTTTGCCGCCGAAAAAAATTGAAAGTCGAGGGTGCGTCTTATACACAGGTACAATTTTTTAAAATATTTTTTTTGTTTTTTATTTATGGCGCTATGCCTGGCAATGTCTTCCTGCTCAGTAATCGGTGTGTTGACTCACCACTCGGAAACTAGAACAACACTCAAATTTGTCTGTCATCTTGGTTTGAAAGTAATCTTTCTAATAGATCTCAATATGTAGTTTATAATAATAATTTCTCCAATTTTGCTTCGGCGTACCACAAGGTTTTATCCTAGGTACTCTATTGTTTTTAATTTACATTAATGATCTTACACATTCTTCTAAAAATGACATTGTTACTTTTATTTGTGACAAGTTCACAAGCACAAATCGGCGCCTTCAACTGCACCTCGATATTAAATGAAAGTCCTTCCCCGCGTGCGTTTTTGTTTCGGCAAGAAAAAAAAAATTGCTTTATTTCTAAAATGCACTGTTGAGAAATTCTATAGAAATCTGGGGTAATTTGTGATAATTTGAAACTGGCTTTATACATGTACTACCCTTAACAGAGGCAGCAAACTTAGTTTATTTGCACTCTCCTTCAAAAGTAAAACTAGGCCTGCATGTCAAGTTTCGTAAGTTTTCTTACGAAACATATAGGGCTACTATTCACCACATCACAATATTTTTGTATTCATCAAAATCACATGACCATTTTACAAATTTGAAATTTTCATGCATTTGGTGACCAAAACTTTCAAACATTTATAATGTCCTTATTTGTGTCATTCAGTTGTTCTCACACTTTCACCTATGCATTTCTGTAAAAGATTTATGATGAACACATAAAGAAAAAAATGGCCAGATGCCATTTCTTTTCTTTTTCTGTTTTTACTTCAAGCAGCAAGCAGCCTGTGCTTGTTTAATGTGTAATGAATAATTTGTGAGTATAGGAATTGTCCAAACTGACTAACATGTATATTATCTTATATATTCACTGATTTCGACATACATGTACCTGACAGTGTCCCATGTGTTCCATGGGTGGCTCCTGCAACTGATAGACCCTGGTCTGGCTGTAGACCAAGGTTAGTAATGGCTCCTGAGGAACTGGAAGCCTGTCCCGGCGCTTGTCCTCCATCACACATTTCCTTGATCTTCTTTCCTTTCATTTCTTGTGAAACCTCTTCTTGCTTGCTATTCAGACCTGTATTAAAGGTAAAGACCAGTTAAGGTCATGCGATTGCATTGTGAAAGAAATGTTGTGGAATCGATCAGAAAAAGTTGCTCAAAGGTTTGAGATTTTGTTCAAACTTTCTTTGATTAATTTGTCTGATTTTCTGCTTGTATTGAAAGTAAGTTATTTTTGGAGTGAACTTGGCCTTTAAATCCTTTAAATTTCACTTAATGAAGGCAAGCATTTCCTAATTTATAGCACTGACCAGTAATTTGAATGATTATTTCAAATTCATTCCCTGCGTTAGATTGGTCAATGTTCATATGTTTAATATTTTTTCTTGCATCCGCCATACTGCCACATGCAATATTTCCCAATGTTTTCATATTGCTATAAAAGATCTAATTTTTACATAACTTTTGTTATTTCTGTTATTTTAGTGTTTTTCCATCTGTTGTTCTTTTGTTTACTTGCCAGTTTTCTCTTCATTTATTATTCTATATTAGATAGCTTAGACAGACACCGAGATGCGATTGGTCCAGAGCTCGTCACGTGATATCAATTGCGAGGATCCATATTGTTATATTTTCCTGGCCGGTCACTTTCCAGTGTTATATTAACCTGCTGGTGAAATGAATATATTTTTTATCAATGCATGTCACCCTCTTGGGGACTGTTTGTCACCAATTACACAAACTACACCAATAGCGTTTTTGTTTCGGCAAAAAAAAAAAAAATTGCTGTATTTCTAAAATGCACTGTTGAGAAATTCTATAGAAATCTGGGGTAATTTGTGATAATTTGAAACTGGCTTATACATGTACTACCCTTAACAGAGGCAGCAAACTTAGTTTATTTGCACTCTCCTTCAAAAGTACAACTAGGACAGCATGTCAAGTTTTGTAAGTTTTCTTTTGATACATAAAGGGTTACTATTCACCACATCGCAATATTGTTTTATTCATCAAAATCACATGATTGTTTTACAAATTTGAAATTTTCATGCATTTGGTGACCAAAACTTTAAACAAATTCATAATGTCCATATGTGTGTCACTGTTCTCGCACTAAAATCTAATCAGTTCATTGGCTCTGCAAGATACATACATGTCTTGACTCTTGAGTTTGATGGTAATCTGTCCATTGGTTCTAATGATAATGCGATCACAAGTTATTTTTGCATATATAATGAACCCTGTGATCTTTGACCTCATGATCCCACAATCTAATCAGTTCATTGGCTCTGCAAGATACATTACGTGTCCTGAGTATGATGGTAATCCATTTATCGGTTCTTGAGATAACGTGATCACGCGAACGGGACATACACATAGCTGCTGCAAACATTTGCAATTTTCAATTAGTAACATTTAACATTTAATGATATTAGTAACTGAATATCATGTGCGCAAATCGCACATCTATGTCAGACCTGCCAACCTCTGGAGTTCAAAAAACGTATTCTTTAATCAAAAAAGTTGTATTTTACTGACAAAAATTGTATTACAAAAAAAAACACGGATCGATGCCTCTTACAGTTCCTACATACAGGAAGAATTTGTTATGGATCATTGGTTGAATATGCATGATTTCGTCATGACTGGTGTGTTCGATGAACCAATGAACATCCCAAAATTACCAATGTGAGATGCTTGTAGGATACTTTACAGGACAGAATGAGCATTTTGCCGTTGAAAATGGCACACACACACTTTAGGAAATTTGTAATAATAGAAGGGGTTTTCGTTATTTTGTAACAACTACGATTTTTTCACAACAGTTGGACGGACGTACAGACGGACAACCTGAAAACATAATGCTTCCGGCTACTTCATTGCAGAGGCATCAAAAAGTAATCATGAATGTTCAAAAGTTGGGAATATATATATATATGCCTTTTAATTTTTTTAAACAAAATTGTTGACTAAAAGAAGAGACTCTTACTTTCAACCTGATGCTCTAGTAGCAATGCCACTCTATCCAGCTCTTTTCTAAGTAGTTCCCCAGGGCTATCCATTTCCTCGAAGAGTTTAATAGCCTTGTTGTAGTGGAGCTTAGCCATAGTTTTAGTGTTCTTCGTGTTGAAGGAATGAGAGAGAGAGAGAGAGAGATACAGAGAGACAGAGTAACATCATTGTCTAAAAAACAAAGTGGAGTCCTGTGTAGAACCATCTGTACATAATGATTGTGAGCAAAGAACTCAGTTGAAACATATTTAGAATGTAACTTAAATGAAAATATATATAATTTTGAAGGCTTGCATAGTGATGATAGATTTGAGCAAGGTTTGCATTTACACCATTTATTCTTTCAACAGTGTTATAGTTGGCCCTGAAAAGTGAAGGTATGTTGTTCCATAGAAACATTAACAAAACTTGCACATTCTTCTTCAATGTAATCAAAGCAGAAATTATGAAGACTCTGGGAATTGAAATTTTGAAAAATCAGAATATTCCGAATTTGTAGGTCCTAAAAATCCAGAATATCAGAATATTCCGGATTATTTACCATATGAGACATCTGAGCAGGGCAATTTTTAAATGTTATTGCCCTCAAGGTTTAATGGATAAGCCAATAAAACTACAGGCGATAAAAAATATTATTGACCCCGCTCAGAAAAGTCAATGGGATTTTGTGTTTAATTTGCCCGTCAATAATATTATACAGTAAACCAATTAACAAATATTATTGCCCGATCTGAAAAGTCAATGGCAAAATGTGTGTTAAACTAGTGGGCAATACTATAGAGCCAATTATAATTTTCATTGCGCATCTATTACGCGTATGAGAAAATGCGCACTTTGCGCGCACTCTATTGTGACGTAATAATCACACATAGGGCACACTGTTTGTAGTGTATCGAAAAATTTGTCAAGCACTGGATGCACAGTGCTGGTTTGACGATGTTTTTGCAACTTTTCATGCTAGGAAACCCTGTGCAGTATAGGTTAACTGTGTTTAACATAATTTAAGAGCATAAGATAGTAAGAGTTTCTTGTTTGCTCTAGATGTCTGATGTGGTTAATAATAGTAATATTGACTGCCTAATTCATATATATGTTGTATTGCCCTGAAGGTCAGTCAATATTACTTACCGTATTTGCCGGCGTATAGGCCGCAGTATTTTTGGAAGAGAAAATATCAAAAAGTCGGGGTGCGGCCTATGCGGCGAAAGAGTAAAAAAAGTTTTTTTTTTTTTTTTTTTTTTCCAATTTATGGCGCTATGCCTGGCAATGTCTCCCAGCTCAGTTATCAGTGTGTTGACTCACCACTCGGAAACTACAACAACACTAAAATTTGACTGTCATCTTGGTTTGAAAGTAATCTTTCTAGTAGATCTCAATATGTAGTTTATAATAATAGTTCCTCAAATTTTTTTCTATAACAAATGGTGTACCACTGGTACCATAGGTACTTTATTGTTTTTAATTCACATTAATGATCTTACACATTCTTCTAAAAATGACATTGTTACTATTATTTGTGACAAGTTTACAAGCACAAATCAGCGCCTTTAACTGCACCTCGATGTTAAATGAAGGTCCTTCCACGCGTGGGTTTTCGGCAGCAAAACAACAACAACAAAAAAACAAAACGTTTTTTTTTTTTTTTTTTTTTTTTTTTTTTTTAAATGTCAAAATCGGGGGTGCGGCCTATGCGGGGGTGCGGCCTTTACGCCGGCAAATACGGTAATTATTTGGAAGGGTTGGCAGGTATACATACCGCATTCAAAATTACTATGCGATAATAGCCTCGCTGCACTCTTTGAATTCAAATTATTCAAATTCATTTATTTCACATGTCTTAAAAAATAAAAATTATGCAGATATGAACATTTTAAGAACCACTTTGTACTAAAATAGACAAATGATATAATGACAAAAGATGCATACACTGTGCTGAAGTGGATGCAAGGGAGTAGCAAAGGTCGTTGTCCTGTCAACATTCATTACTGTCACAAATAAAAAGTTACAATATACATGAATTTAAGACAAAAGAAATAGCAGAAACAAAGAAGAAAGGACCATCTCAACTAACCTGATTTCTCATTGAGTTGAGATTCATGGATGCCAGTCGAAGATGGATAGTAGCTGCCCTATCCTGATAGAGGGGCTGTCTGCTGGATGATGTCTCCTTTGTGTCACAAAGAGCCATTGCTTTGCTCATGAATTTCAGCACATCCTTCTCAATCTAAAATAAAAAGTAGGAAATAATGTCAATTACTATAACCATCATTGCTTGTATATGACAAGACTCAAATCATGTAGCCAGGGACTTCACTAGAGTGTGGGGGATGTGGGATGTGAAGTTATGAATTTTAAGAGTGTAAAAATGGTAAGTACTTAGAATTAACAACATTTTTTCTTTGCTTTTCTTATTCTCATGTTTTTTTAAATGTTGTCGCAAAATTAAGCTATCAAAGATGGAAGTACTAAACTCCAATGGATAACAGCAATCTGTTAACCAAGTCATATATTACAAGGAACATTTAGAGCAAAATATAATATACTTTCATAACCACAGAAATTAAGTTAAGAGCATTTCTAACGTAGCTTCCAATGAAACCCGCAGTCTCCCTTTTCTAACTAATAAAGTCTCGCTCACATATGACGTTATAATCCGCTACATTTATTTTTTCAAACTTAAACAAAAAGAGCGTTTGTATGCATCAAAGGCTACTCCTTTATCTGCATGTTTGAGACACAAAAATGTGCAGAGCTCTTTGCTTAAAAAATAATAATGATTACCGGAAAGATCAATTTACACATACTCTACAGCGCTGGAAAACTAGATGGAACTAGATGGAACCGCCATAGAGCAATTTTACAAACAAAAGCGGAAGCAATTTTTAAAATTTAACTTTGATTGTAATCCATCTGTCGGTTTTAATGATAATGCGTTCACAAGCTATTTATAGGCATACATAATGAGCCCCATGACCTCATGACCCTAAAATCTAATCAGTTCATTGGCTCTGCAAGATACATATACATGTCTTGAGTTTGATGGTAATCTGTCTATTGGTTCTCATGATAATGCGATCACAAGCTCTTTTAAAATACAAAATGAGCCCTGTGACCTTTAACCTTTGACCTCATGACCCCCAAAATCTAATCAGTTCATTGGCTCTGCAAGATACATACATGGCTTAAGTCTGGCAAGAATTCATCAATCGGTTCTTGAGATAAAGTGATGAAGAGAATAGGACGTTCAGACGTACGTACGGACAACCAGAAAACATAATGCCTCCCACTACTTTGTAGCGGAGGCATAAAAATTGCAATGGTAAACCATGGCAATAAACCAAGCCATATGTGAACGCAGCTCAACTCCTCCACATTACCTCTGCAAGATTGCGGGATACCGGAGGTCGATCCTGCATCTGACACGCCATGTTGAAATATGTCGAGCACAGGTTCCACGTGATGGAATCCCACAATTCAACAAGGCCGCTCTTGTTGCCCAGGATTTGGAGACCCCTCTCGTAACACTCAGCCGCCTGCAAGGGTTGGATGTACATGACAGAAATCTTTATACTAAATTCAATATAAATTAAACCATGTACTGGTACATCTCTATGATATCAATGATGCTACGAGTGAAGTGCTGTATACAACAAAGTAAATCTTGAACTGGCTTTAACTCTTTCGAGACAACCATTCCATATTTTGTGGTTTGGCTCAATAACCTTCGATTCAGAGCCCTAAAAAATATACCAGATGCATGAGTAGAAAGGGGAAAAATTTCTGCACACATTGCATATACATAATTCTTTCATCACTATAATGCATTTGATGTCAAGAATTTTAAAAAAGAAAACAACCTTAAATTGGCAACGTGTTGAGAGATTCAGAATCATTCTTTTCCGATCAAAATTTGTGATTTTTTCCTCAACTTTTCAACAACATAATTTAACATACATGTATATATTGTTATCACAACATTTATGTGATACTGGCTGCCCTTAAGTGGTATATCAGATATATTACATTTAGCTTGCCAATATTTCGACTCGTGCAATATTCATCCTGCATCATGAATGCAATATAACTGATACCCTGAAAGAAACCAATATCATTATTATTATGTATACAAAATCTAACTACAGTGAAATTTAAAGGATTGAAAAGATCAATTTATCAATCCATCTTTGTCTTAAATAATCTTACAGCAAGATTTGAATATACAGTGTAGATTGGTGTTTTAACACAATACCCACAAAGCATTTTACATGATATACTGCGGCCGTATTCAATTCAGTAAGCGGATTAAGTTAGTATTTTAATTAGAATTTTACTTGGCTAAGTTGACCCTTATTCAGATCATATCTTAGCATTTTACTTAAGCAAGTTGACTTTAAGGCAAAATACTAACTGATAAGCATTGTGATGTCACATGGTCAATAACAAATTATGCGCAATATACGCGTCATATTAAATGCACGCTATTATAATTGTGCTCAGCGTAAGAAATCATGCTCAGCATGCAATATTGTAGTGATATTGCACGCTGATTCTCCATCGGGGGTAATGGTAGATGCTAACAATATTGAAATCAATCAAAGAAAGGTAATCAAACACACAAATTTACTCTATGAGAAAGAGGCTCGTATGTATAATTAATAAATTTGATTTAAACAATGTACAAACAAAAGAAAAATATTATTGTTGCCAATTTGAAGAAAATAATGTGGTAAATTTAGCCCTAAAAATAAATCCTGACCTAAAAGGATTAATTCCCAACACTCAATGGTATGGAGAAAGCTTTGAGCAATTCGGGACATTCAGCAAGAGCCCCAATTTTTTTAAAACTGTTTAAAAATTTGAGGCGATCTGTCACGAATTGCGTAAAGCGGGGAGAGCGTATTAAAGCTTATCAAAGCGTCACAAAGCTTATCAAAGTTTTGCTCAAAGCGTAGGAAAGCTTAACAGAGTTTAAATTTTTGGCGCTCTTGCCGAATGTCCCGAATTGCTCAAAGCTTTCTCACGCTCTATTACGGTCTTTACGCTTTAATTAAACTTTGTTATGCTTTGCCGCCGCTTTGCTCGCCGATTTAATGCGCCATCAATTCGGCGTCGGTGTGAACTTAGCATAACATATCTCAGGAGTCAGGAGATCGTGAGATTTTTTGAAAAAATGACGCCGAATTGATCGCCGATTTAAAGCGCGACATTCGGCGTTGGTGTGAACGAGGCATTAGTAAATTACATCATCAGGTGCATGTATAAACCACCAAATTGTTTTTTTAACTTAACCCCACCCCTCAAATTGATCATCTCAAATTCATCAATTAACATGAGAGGTGGAGTAGTACATATTATAGAAATTGGAATAAAGTGTGAGGGAAACATGACAAACCATTAGAAAATAATTTTTCTCCTTGGTACTGAACTTTGCATCTGGTCCCATACTACCCCCAGAAGCATAGCTCTGGGCCAAGAGCCTCATCAGACGACCCTTGTTACAATTGAGAAGAGCCATGTTGGTGGTATCAGAAACCTTCTCAAAGGACTTCACACCGGTTTCAAACCAATGGTAACTCTCCTTCCACAGCTGCTCAAACGTTCTGTTCCTCGAATCTGAACAGGAGTATACATAATTTGCATGCTTGCTTACACACCAATCTAATTTCACACTATTCTATACAAATGTTATAATGCTTTATGAAGTAAATATGTTTTCTTAACCTACTATTTATACCATGTATTGATGTATATTATGTTATGAATAGTTGTATGTAAAATGTGAGCAAAGCAAATTTCCATTGGAGAATGAAATAAAGTTGAATTTAAGAGAGATAGAAAAATATATCCCTTTTGTTCACACATAATTCCACAATTCCATTCCATTCTCTGCCAAGTGAAACAGTATCGTCCAGGCATGTTTGTTACATATTAAATCTGCATGAGAGCACAGAAAATTTGCTTATTTGGTCACAAATGAAGCTTCTCTCATACATTACCTTATTAATAATTTTACTCTTCACAGGGAATCTAAATACGGGTAGTGAAACAACTGTTTCCCACACAATGAAACCTGCTTTAGTGACCATCCCTATAATAAGAGCACCTGTCCACAAAGACCACATTCTTCGTTTCCCTTGAATGTGGTTTCTCAATGAAATCTGTTCTAAAGGAAACCTGTACATAAAGGCCACTGGCCTATAAAGACAACTTTTATTATCTCGATTGAGCGGTCTTTATACACAGGTGTCGCTGGACTTGCAAACCATGTATGTCTGCGAGGCTGTATTTCTCACCTTTGACAGAAGCAGGATTTTCAGCACTGTTCATCAAGAAGACACCAAGCTCACTGCAAGCATTGCCGTGCTTCACAAGGACACTCCTCTTGAATGCTTCCTCCTTCTTCACCTTATCATCCAGACAAGCTTCGTAACACTTGATGCTACGTGCTAAACAATCATTTTTTTCTGTTTGAAATTCAGTTGCCCACTCATATTCTATATCAGGGAGATATAAGAAATATGAAAGCTTTTTCAATTTTTGTATAGAAATATTAACTGAAAACAAAAAATTAATAGAAAAGAAGAAAACATGGCAGCCAGTTTTACATATTTCGACTAGAAATGTATTCAGAAATCTAAAACTAGCTAAACTGATGATGCCGTTGTGTTTATGAATATCTTGAAGTTTACAGATGATCAGATTTACTTTTTTTAACCTCTAAATTCTTTTGCAAGATGAAATTTAAACACAAATATCAAAAACAAGTACATGATCACTACCAATATCTTCAACGTAAGAGTGCCAAGCTGTGCAGATTCGTTTTGTTTTTCCAGTTCCCCTTTTCTTTTCTTTTTATGTATCACTTGTCATATTCTAAAGAAAGCTATATTTTCGTATTGTATCAGTTTGTGCCTCTGGATTTGCTGGACATTAACAGCTTTCCAGGTCTCTTTTTCCTTTTGTATTCTACAGTCAAGTTAATAAGACAAAGAAAAAAATAACAACTGTAAAATATGTACATTCAAATTATCCTCCTATGTGAGAGTATGGCAAAGTTACATACAGGTGGCATTTATTCTAGGAGGTAGCAATGCAGAGGGAGGGGGGGGGGTGGAGCAGTTGTGAGGGAGATTTTCTGGGGGTGGTAGCTCAGGGGTAGATGAAGTTTGTCCTGGAAACTACAAAGGTGGGTGAGGCAGCGGTGCATACCATGGGATGTCTGCTTGATGGTAGCCTTCTTTAGGATGAAGGTATCCATCTCCGAGATGTTCTGATAGCCTTCATGGTGAAGATGATGGGTACTAGGGTCATGGGTCAGAAGAAGATGGGAATCGCCGCACATCATCAGAACATTGTACACGTTAGTCTCTCCACCATGAGTCGACCAGTTGGCATCTAAATTTATGAGAAAAATATAAATAGATAGAAGGAAACACTTCACCTAGAAATATAATAGGCCTGAGTCGGTATGGTCGGTCACACCAAGTCCCGACCGTCGCCATCGGGTTCCGGTTTCATTTTTTGGAAACCGACGCTCTGATAAATATAATGAAATATGTAAGAAATTGCAGTATTACACACCACTAAAACTAATCCACCTTAAAACTCTTAGATATTTCATTTTTACCAATCATATTCTAGCTCATCCTGAATCGATACGAACTGCCGATATAAATATTGGTTGCAAAGCAGTTTGCTGTTCTCGGCATGGGGTTGTTGTTGCCAGCACAGCTAGCTAGCTACTGTGCTGGCCGGGTTTCGGCAGGATGAATAAATCAGGTTAAAAAAACATTAATGTTAAAATAATAAAACTGCTTTCTAAAAAATTCTTCTTTTCAACATACCGATCAAATTTTTTAAAAAGACAAAATAAACATTTTCCTCTTATTTTAAACACAGCGTGCTTCTTTTTGAAGCTGAAAATTACTTGGTAATCATAACAAGTTTTGATACTGATAGCTGTTGCAAGGCAAGTTCGGACTAGTTACGATAAGAATACTCAGTGCACTTCATTAGCTGTAATTAATGCGTGCCAAAACGAACCCAAACAAATTATACGTGATCGTACCAAGAAATCATTAAAACTACGAGAGCACAATTGGAAAGATAACTACTCAAAATTACCGTAAGCAGATACATAACTGTGAGGAAGAATACAATAGTTGTCCATCAAAAGCCACAGAAATAGTGATATTTAAAGGTATTACAAAGTTTTGGTAATTTTTGAAAATTGGCTAGATAGCGATTCTTTACAATGTTGATATATTTGGAAGCCCCTATGGATGTATAATAAGCACTAAAAAAATTGGCCCCTAAAACACTTCTGCTTTCGAGAAAAATTGAATATAAAAATTTACCGGTGCTCCCGGTAAATTTTGATAAATTTCAAATAGCGCCTACGGCCATACGATGGAAGCTGCGACCATGAAAATCTCAGAATATGCAGTTGTGATACATATATTCCAAATGGTAGTAGCAAATCGGTCGATTTTAGTCAAATAACATTGTTTTATAGCTCAATCACTATCTTGACCTTGAGAGAGCGCTATACAACATAAAGAGTTTATTATTTACAATTTCATCATTGTAGACTCGATTTCAACCGCGACAATGATCACTAAATATTGTAGGATCGCATATGCTTCCAATATGTTCATTTGAACGAAATTCATGACCACAAACCTTTAAGGAGTTACTACAGTGCGTCCCAGAAAAAACGAAACCGAGAATTATCGATGTTTTATCATAACTTAATCACATTTATAATTAATAAATGACACACATTTGGAAAGCTTAGTTCCTCCTCTTTCATTTGATGCAACTCATATGATGCATATTTAACGCATGAGTGATTAAAATCAATTTGAAGAGAGGAAACTGAAAAGTCATTTGGCGGGCGGTATCTGAATTTCAAAGAGAAAATCACATTTCTAGAAAGTTGGGTTTCTGCCCTTTCATATGACACCCCAATCAGGAAAAAGTGTGCGTAGTCCCATATACATCTTTCTGCATGTGTACAGTACTTGTAACTTTTTGAAGACTGGGCCAAATTTCTTATCATTTTGATGATTCCAGATCCTTGCAGTACACCAATACTTATATGCTAGATGATCAACCTTTCTGATCGATTCCACAATGTTTCTTTCACAATGCAATCGCATGACCAATACTGGTCTTTATCTTTAAATATTACTATTTCTGTGGCTTTTCTTGGATTAATGGAAGAGAAAGAGAAAGAGAGGACCATAGAGACAGGACTGAGGTGGCAAAGAGTTACAGAAAGTTACCGTGAGATAAGGATGGAGATTGTGAGAAATAGAGAGATAGAAAGAGCAAGAGACAGAAGGGTAGCAAAAGGAAATGAAAATTAAACATACATTTGATAAAATAAACATCAGGGTCCTGTATTATAAAACTTTTGACTTACCATAATAGTAACTCCCCGGATACTTACCGTTTATCTTAAAGTTACCGCTGCTTTTAAGACTGACCGCTCAAATGAGCACTTACCGCTACGGTAACTGTTTTATAATACGGGACCCGGAACTTTAATACACAGGTGCATCAATTTTTTAAACTTACTATGGCATTTGATAGCCAGCTGTGCCATAAGAAGCACCCTGCCGTGTTTATGATCCTCCCATGCGATCACGGTCAATTTGTAGTAGGCCTGATAAGCCTTCTCCAGAAGACCTGAATATTGAGAAGACACCAAGTTTGGCGGGAATCCATCAATTGGTTCTTGAGATAACGTGATCACGAGAACGGGACGTACAGACAACCCGATAACATAATGCCTCCGGCTACTTTGTAGCGGAGGCATAAAAATGACCTTCTATTTATATTTGCCTTGTGAAGATAGTTGTCCCACTGCCCAAGTAGTCGGTGACTATTAGATTACTATTGCATACCTGCCAACATTTGAAAATGAGAATTAAGAATTTTTAGCACGGTATGTCTTCGAAAATAAGAAATCTGTCCTCTTAACAGGCGTTCCATGCAGCGGCAGTGTAACTGGCAATACGCGGTAAATCTGTGCAAAAAAGCGAATACAAATTTGCTGCTCAATCATGCAGCCCTTCAACGCAAGCAATACGTGAACTCTCACATCGCGGCATATGATAAAACAAGCTTAATTTGGCTTAAGCAACACACACACACACACACAAAAAAAAAAAAAAACCAAAAAACAAACCCCCCCCCCCAAAAAAAAAAAAAAATTGAAAATCTGGAATATCCCGCATTTTGGGGTCCTAAAAATCCAGAAAAACGGGATATTCCGGATTATTCGGGAGGGTTGGCAGGTACATGTATGCTATTGCAATGGCCAAGACCCCAGCGATTTAGCTTATGTCTTGATATAGGGATAGTCAATATTTGTTTAAAGGTATTACAAAGTTTTGGTATGGGGTCATGAATTTGGTTCAAATGAATATATTGGAAGGATATGCGATCCTACAATATTTATTGATCGTTGTCGCGGTTGAAATAGAGTCTAAAGTTATGAAATCATAAATAATAAACTATTTATGTTGTAGCTCCCTCTCAACGTCAAGATATTAATTAAGCTATAAAACAATGTTTCTTGACTAAAATCAACCGATTAGCTATTCCCGTTTGGAAATTATATATCACAACTACATATTCTAAAATTTTTAAGGCCGCAGCTACCATTGTACGGCCGTAGGCGCATTTGAAATTTATCAAAATTTACCGGGAGCACCAGTAAATTTTTATATTCAATTTTTCTCGCAAGTAGTCGTGTTTTAGGGGCAAAATTTTCTAGTGCTTATAATACATCCACAGGCAGAGCTGCCAACCTCCAGAACAGAAAATCAGTAATCACAAGGCTCAAAATCAGTAATTTTAGGTATAAATCAGTAATTTCCTATGCTGCGCTATGAATCTAAAAAAAACGGCACGCCAACACTGCGCGGATGCATGATTATCTGAAATTTTTGGTGACTTTCAGGCCATCACAACAGTTTTCCATGAAAAATGGCTCCTATTAAGAGAATACTTGATACTTTTCCGTATTTCTCAGCGAGTGTTGGAGGCCGCTATACTTCACAGCACTCGTTAAGATAAATCATATTTAAAGAGAAGGTTGAGTTCTGGGAAGAGGTGAAAAATAATTTGTGAGCGTTACTCATTCTTATTATGCAAGTGTGAAAGAACATCAGATAAGACATGTTCCCTGAAAAGCATGGCTCTTCAAATGCCTTCATATTCTAAATATGCATGTAACATCGTAAAAATCGGGGGGGGGGGGGGGGCGGCTTTTTACGCCACGTGTTCGTGTAAAGTCCCATATACATCTTTCTGTGTACAGTGTTTGTAACTTTACCAAGACTTGGCCAAATTTCTTATCATTTTGATGATTCCAGAACCTTGCAATACAAACAAATTCTTATATGCTAGATGATCAACCTTTTCTGGTCGGTTCCACACCGTTTCTTTCACAATGCAATCGCATGACCAGAACTCAACTTCATCTTTAAAAAAAAAAAATCGTA